AAACAAGATGTTCAAAATTTCTTTCCATTTTCCCGTGTAAAGCCTCACACTGGACTCAATAACATGAATATCATTTTTCTACTCATTTTATTCTATTATTTGAATCACTTACAGTTCAAATTTGACTTAATTCAAAAAATTGCTTGAAATGCAATAAATTAATTAAATATAGCAAATAGATCTAGAAATATACCAAATTTTAACATGGAGTACCACATATTCTATGTGGAGTGTAGAAAAATTTTCAAGGTTAGAAGAAGGAAAAACTTATTTCTTTGCCGAGCGTCTACAAAAACACTCGGCAAACTTACTTCTTTGTCGAGTGCAAAAAAAACACTCGGCAAACTTACTTTTCTGTCGAGTGTTTTTTTTCAGCACTTAGCAAAGAGTTTGTTTGCCGAGTGCAATTATTTTGCCGTGTGTTTTTTTCGCAGCACTCGACAAAAGCTTATTTGCCGAGTGCCCGAGGGAATGCACTCGGTAAACATAAAAACACTCGGCAAAAAGCCGGTTTCCAGTAGTGCATTGCGAAGAAATCAGACCCTAGATAAAACAAAAACTGTAAAAAAACTAAATCTGTGAAATAAAAGGACATGTGTGATGATGTGTCTCATTTGCACCGGCGAGCACTACTAGATTTAGGCGCTTTGCCGAGTGCCTAATGCACTCGGCAAAGGCTACTTTATCCTTGGCAAAGCCTTTGCCGAGGGCAGCACTCGGCAAAGAGCCTCCGGTAAAAAATCCGTCGGCAAAGAATTCTTTGCCGAGCGCCTTTTATCGGGCACTTGGCAAAGTCTTTGCCGAGTGCAATCTTGGCACTCGGCAAAGAAAAGTGACCGTCACGGCGCCGGTTGCGTTAGCACATGCTTTTCCGAGTGCCATGTCAGAGGCGCTCGACAACGATTTTTTATTTTTTTTTCAAAATTTCTTTGCTGAGTGCCCTACCGGGGAGGCACTCGACAAAGATTTTTTTTAATAATTTCTTTGCCGAGTGCCCTGCCAGGTCGGCGCTCGGCAAATATTTTTTAATTTTTTTCGTAATTTCTTTGCCGAGTGTCCTGTCAGGGCGGCACTCGGCAAATATTTTTTTAAAAAAAACCTTGGCCGAGTGCCCTGGCCCTGGCACTCGGCAAAGCTATACAGAATTCCCAGCTTTGTCGAGTGCCAGGGACAGGGCACTCGGCAAAGAGGCTAATTTTTTTTGATTCTATATTCACAAACACAACATATAAGAGATATATATAACATCTGTGACATCACAAACACAATATAGCACATATATATCACATCCATCTCATCACAAAGGCAATACGACATATATATCACATGTCGATCACACAATATCTCACATACACGACATCACAAGCATAATAGGTCCAATATCCATCGAAACAAGTCGATAGTTGATCACAGTGCATCACATGTCCATCAAGTGGTGAAAAAGAGATACAAACTACCGGTGGGGAGGAAACTGAGTGCTTGGTGAAGGAAAAGTGCCGTCGCCTGCTTGCGCCTGAGATGGGTTATTCGAACCCACCGACGGAGGCTGCATAAAGGACAAGAGATTGCATCTGTTAGAGTGGTCATCTAATGAAAGCACTAGTCGAAGCAATTTGGTTTCATACTCATAGGACTAGCTATAACTGGCGGCGACGGTGGAGCGAACTACGACACAACTACACCGTGCATTTGCCCAAAGTTCTATAGGAACATCGTAATCTCCGCCAGCTGCTTGGCCTGCCTTTCCCGCTCAGCCCGCTCATCCTGTCTTTCCCGCTCGGCCTGCTTGGTCCTCGCCGCCAAGTCCCGCAGCTCCTGAGCCATCCTCTCGTTCTTGGCCTGCAACATTTCAATCGAATATTTCAGTAATGCAAAGGTAACTAAGTTATTTAAAGATCAATGTACGAAGAGTTAAACGAGACTAACCTAGAGTGCGTCGACCCGCTGCTGTGAAGGGGATGGCCGTTGGCGTATGGCCAGGCCTCCGCTCGGGGTCTGTGCTCGGATCTGGGAGAGGGAGGGAATCTCGCTGGGCTCGAGGGTGCCATCGCCAATCCAGTACCGCCCATGCTTCTTGCCTTGTCTGAGCCTCATGACCATCGTCCCATCGATGTTGTCGGTGCTCGGATCCCAGTCTGGCCCATGGACCGACCTTGCCTCCGACGCGTATGAACTGATGCGAGTGTGGACGCTCGGGTTGCTTTAGGACTCAGGCGGGTCATCCAGGGTGAAGGTGACAGCGGACGTCGCCTTACCCTTGCGGGCTAGACCATATGCCATGAAATTGGAGATGGACTGCCCACCTTGTGACGCTGACTGCGAGAAAGACAACAAGATGATTAGAAGAAACATGCAGAATGGAGCGTCAGAATACTAAAAATTCACGTACCCATGCTTGCTTGTACGCACCGAGGCTACGGCTGCCTTGATGGTGTGTAGGGCCTGTCGCTGCCATACGCCCTCCCGCCCCGCCTCGTGGTCCTGGATATAACCCTCAGTGAACCACCTATCCACGATCATCTCCCAGCAGTCCCGATACGACTCACACCACCATGGAATTATCTACATGTCATAAAGAATTTGAGATGTAAGAAGACCAAATTAAAGCTACTTAATCTCAAAACAAATCAGTATTATTCTTCTTCATTTACCTCAAGGTACTGTTCCTGGGTCAGCGTCCTCTGTCTTGCCTGTGTCTTGGTGATCTTCTCACCAAGGTGCGTGGCGTAGTACTTGACGATGCAAGTGAGGCGCTCCTCGTAGTGCATGTCGGTGATTCGCTTCTGGCACTTTTCACCATCACCTTCTCTCGCCTGTCCTCCCCGTCCCCTCTTCACATCCGAAAAAAGTCTGCAGACAGACACAATGTATCAATTCATTATGTCAAAAAAGTCAAATGAATGCGATGTATTGATCAAAGTTGTGCGAGCGAGACTTACCCAGAACTCTCTCCTCACCCGCTCCTCGCTTATCTCCACATGCGTCGGGGCATCTTTGTAGTGGTCCCACGATTTGGTCGGCTCGATGTTCCCCTTGTGCGTGACAATGCGGGGTAAAAGTGCTCGCACACAAGACCCGAGGATGTGGTTGGGGTTGCGTGAGTCACCAGGCGACACAACCAGCCAGTGCCTGCACAAGTCATTAACAAACATTATTAGTTTCTCTGACAATTTTCAACAGGTTATATGAAGTAGCTGTGATAAAATCTAAAGTTACTTACCTGTCCCCCTGGGGGCGGATCACTGGGCGTAGGGGAAGAAGCGGAGGCCCAGGGAGTTTCGAGGGACCTCGCAAGTAGATCCTGGCCATAGCGGAGGAGTCCGAACCACTGTGTGCCTCTCCAGCCCGCCGCCCGCCAGTGCTCTCGCCTCGTCGTCCGTCCGCTCGCCGAACTAGCTCCTCCTCATCCGAGGAGTCCGAGGTACGGCGCTCCTCCTCCAGCACGTCACGCGGCCTAACTAGAGGAGGCCAGCCCCTCCTGCTGCCGCTGCCGCTACCGCTGCTCCTGGCCCTCTGCCTCCTCCCATCCGACAACCCCTCTTCTGCATCCGGATTTGCATCGTGTGCCCTCATGAACCTCGAGTTCACGTTCCTTGGCACACGACTGCCCGCCATCTTTGTTCAATCACCTGCAATTAAAAAGAAATAAACAAGACATCTTGGACCGAAGCGGACCATGGAAACTAACCCATCTACGCATCCGCGGGCTATCCAAAAAACATGGAGAATCTGAAATAGATACGGTCGCAGATATACAAAGATCTGCATACCTACAACCGTATCTCTTTCGGACGGGAGACACCTAACTAGGTTACGCGACCAAATTTCGGACGGGAGACACCTAACTAGGTTACGCGACCAAAGACCACATACGGATAGAGGGGTTATACCTAGGGTGCCGGTGAGGTTAGGGTAGCAGGGCGGTGGAGAGTCGGTGCAGTGGCGAGTCAACGCGGTGCAGGAAGACCCGCAGCACCGACGAAGACGATCGGGGTCGCCGAGTCCCTCCCACAGGTCCTCCTGCAAAAAAGAGCAAAAATGGTTAGTGTCGACTCAAAATTTCGGCAGCGCCTCCCCTGCACGGGGAGGTTCCCAAAACCTGCAAAAAACATGGCACAAAGGCCAACAACCACATATATACCAAACATGGGCACGAATGCCAACAACCACCAATATATCAAGAGGAGCCATATACTTTAGTTCTCTTTCCATGCAGATGAAAGTATTGAAGTAGTACAACAATAATTACTACTAACCCTACAACTACTACTAACACTACTACTAACAACTACTTAACTACTAACAGTACTAATACTAAGAACTACTTAACTATTAACAACTACTACTACTAACCACTACTACTTACTAACTACTACTATTTACTAACTACTACTACTACTAACCCTACAACTAACACTACTAACTACTACTACTAACCACTACTACTTACTAACTACTACTATTTACTAACTACTACTACTACTAACCCTACAACTAACACTACTAACTACTACAACTAACACTACTAACTACTACTACTAACACTACAATTAACTACTACTAACACTACTAACTACTACTACTACTAACCCTACAACTACTACTAACACTACTACTAGCAACTACTTAACTACTAACAGTACTAATACTAAGAACTACTTAACTATTAACAGCTACTACTACTAACCACTACTACTTACTAACTACTACTATTTACTAACTACTACTACTACTAACCCTACAACTAACACTACTAACTACTACTAACAACCACTACTACTTACTAACTACTACTATTTACTAACTACTACAACTACTAACCCTACAACTAACACTACTAACTACTACAACTAACACTACAACTAACACTACTAACTACTACTACTAACACTACAACTAACTACTACTAACACTACTAACTACTACTACTAACACTACAAGGGTAGGGCTTACCTTGGCGGCAAGAACGGCAAGAGCGAGGGCCGGCGACGACGGCGGGGATGACCGCAGCAGCGCAAGGATCAACGGGCAGTCGGAACGGTGCGAGGATCGACGAGCGGTCAGGTCAGCACCTTCCTCTTCTTCCTCCTCCCCCTTCTCTTTCTTCCTCTTCCTCCTCGTCCCCCTTCTCTTTCTTCCTCTTGCTCCTCTCCTTCTCCCTCTGCTGGCCGACCGCAGGGCACGGCGGGGCCGGTGGAGCTTGGGGCCGGCGGGGGAGCTCAGGGCCGGGGGAGCTCTGGGCGGCTCGGGGTCGGCTGTGTGTGTCATCCTGGGGGAGCTCGGAGTCTGGGCGCCATGCGAGCTCAGGGGGCATGAGGGCACCGGGCGAGGGCTGGCCGCCGGGCATCAGGGCGAGCGCGTCGGGACGGGCGGGGAAGTGGACGGGCGGGCTCGACAGGACCTCATGGGAGGGGGGACGACGAGCAGGGTGGCAGCGGTAAAGGAAGGTAGGGAAACGTGGGCGGGTGGGAGAGGAGTGAGGAGGGGGTGGGGTTGGGCCGGCCCGTTCTGGGCCTTTAGGTTAAAAGATTTGCCGAGTGCCGGGCCCAGCAACACTCGACAAAGGGTTTTTTATTTTTTATTTTTTAAATTCTTTGCCGAGTGCCCTGTGACCTGGCACTCGGCAAAGGCTTCTTTGCCGAGTGCTAAGATTGGCACTCGGCAAATTTTTTTTTGTTTTTTTTGCCCCATTTTTTCTGGGGCCTTGCTACAGTAATTAAAACTCCATTTCAAAATTTAGGATAATTTTGAGTTTTTTTACTATATTTTCTTAATTATTTTTGTTTCGTTGAATTTTTCCGACTATTTCAAATTTGAACTGCATGTACATGAAATAATGGAATTTGGTCATTCAAAAAATGGTATTCATGATGTTTGGCGTATGTTGAGGCCGTATCCAGGACCTCGCATGAAGTTACGACCATGTTGGTGTTGTAACATGACGAGTTACTTGCGGGAAAAATGTTTTTAAATTATATAAAATCCAAACGAAGTCCGAAAATGATGAAACTTGTCGAGGTGTGTTGTCATCGCATGTGGAGCCTGTGGTAAAAAATTGAGAAAGTTTAGAGCAAGTTGTGACGTCGGATGCCTAAAACCCAAACATTTCCACATGTGATCTCCGATGGGCATCCGACGTCACAACTTGCTCCAAACTTTCTCAATTTTTTACCACGGCCTCCACATGCGATAACAAGACACCTCGACAAGTTTCGTGATTTTTAGACTTCGTTTGGATTTTATATAATTTAAATACACTTTTCCCGCAAGTACATCGTCATGTTACGACAACAAGATGCTCGTAATTTCATGCGAGTTCCTGAATACGGCCTCAACATACGCCAAACATCATGAATACCATTTTTTGAATGACCAAATTTCATTATTTCATATACATGCAGTTCAAATTTGGAGTAGTCGGAAAAATTCAACGAAACAAAAATAATTAAAGAAATATAGCACAAAAAGTCAAAATTGTCCCAAGTTTTGAAGTTGAGATTTATTTACTGTATCAAGGCTCCAGAAAAAAATTGGGAAGAAAAAAACAAAAAAAATATTGTTTGCCGAGTGTCGGCGCACGTGACACTCGGCAAAGAGGCCTTTGCCGAGTGCCGGCGCACGTGGCACTCGGCAAAGGCTGTCGCCCTAGCCGACCCTAATCCTGCCACGTGGCAGGCCTTTGCCGAGTGCTTGGCAGTCGGCAAAGGTGGCTCATTTGCCAAGGGCCTAACGGCAGGGCACTCGGCAAAAGGGACGACCACGGATGCCGTTTGTCCAGGCCCCCCTTTGCCGAGTGCCCCTCTTTACCGAGTGCCTGGCACTCGGCAAAGATCCCCTTTGCCGAGTGCTTCTTTTTGCCGACTGCCCGACACTCGGCAAAGATATTTTTGCCAACTGCCCGACACTCGGCAAAGAAATCTTTGCCGAGTGCTTGGTCTGGCACTCGGCAAAGAACCTCTTTGCCGAGTGCCCGTGGTTTGACACTTGGCAAAGCTTGCGGCACTCGGCAAAGGCAATGTTTCCCGTAGTGCGTGTTCGGGCACGCTGTCTGGCCATATGGAACCGTGTCTTGGCCTTCAGTTCCCGCCTGAGGACGATCTCGTCCTGCGATAGCTGCCGGGACTCCTGTGCCACATCAAGTTCGTAGATCACCACTCTCGCGGCGGCGAGCTGTAGCCTGATAGTTCCCACGTTGGAAGCATTCCAGCTCTGGAGAGACCTCGCAACATATCTAAGCTTGTGGTCGAGGGAACGACAAGTTATGTACATCTTCGTCCACTTTTTCAGGTTGTCAATTGAGAATGAAAATGATCCTCCGGACATAGAGTCATAGATTATGATGGCCTAAGTTATGGAATGAAAAGCGAGTTTCAGCTGTGTGTAATACAATGCTCACTATTGTTGCAGGCGTACCTCAAATACCACTAGATGCCTGAACCTGACATCCTACAACTACCTCGGTTTTGCTGCAGCAGATGAGTACTGCATTCCACGCGTTGTCGAGTCTCTCAAGAAATACTCAGCAAGCACCTGCAGTGGTCGTGTCGAGGGCGGTACGACTGACATTATCATCCACATGCATATTTATATATTTTATTAACAACTTTTTATTTAGGAACACAGGCACAACCAAGCTTCACACTGAGCTGGAGGAGCTGGTTGCACGTTTTGTTGGAAAGCCTGCTGCTGTCCTATTTGGCATGGGCTATGTTACAAACTCTGCCACCATTCCCTGCCTAATTGGAAAGGTTTGTTCAAATGCTTATATATTGTCAAATGTCTGAATTATCAGCCCGGGTGGGCTCCGCTTAGGCCACGGTTGGGCCAGCTGGGCTGACCCTGGGCATTAGGCCCATGATATATATCCACTTAACTAATATTGTGACCAGACGCAGAGGTGATTACTACTCTGTAGGTTCTAAATTGTAAGTCGGCTTTTGTTACACAGTTTTTATATGTATGTAGAAAAGTAAGAACGACTTCGTCTCAAAAAAAAAGTAAGAATGACTTACAATTTGAAATAGAGGGAGTATATTTACTATGCATATGGCTAAAATGAGAGGTGGTTACATTTTTTCCCCTTTTTGTGATATTCTAGGGTGGGCTGATAATTAGTGACTCTCTGAACCACAACTCAATTGTCAATGGCGCAAGAGGATCTGATGCAACTGTTAGGGTTTTCCAGCATAACTGTAAGCTGCTTTGCCTCTGAACAATGCATAGCAGTCTTTGGTCTCTGTTCATGTGAATTATCATTGTAAATGAACTCTTGCAGCCCCTGCTAATCTGGAAAAGGTCCTGAGAGAGCAGGTAGCTGGTGGTCAGCCACAGACACGCAGAGCATGGAAGAAGATCATTATCATTGTTGAGGGTATCTACAGCATGGAAGGGGAGCTGTGTAAACTCCCTGAAATCATAGCTGTTTGCAAGAAATACAAGGTCTGGAGAATTTTTCTTGTAGTTCTCATTGAAATTTTGTCAAATAATTTTTTTCTTTACTATTCTTTGTCCGGCGACACAAAATAGTCATCCATTTACTCCTTGTTCTGTCAAATTAACAGGCTTACACGTATCTGGATGAGGCCCATAGCATTGGTGCTGTTGGGCGGTCTGGCCTGGGGTGTTTGTGAACTCCTTGGGGTTGACCCAGCTGATGTAGACATAATGATGGGTACTTTCACCAAGTCTTTTGGATCATGTGGTGGATATATTGCTGCATCAAAGGTGTATACTACTGAAAGCAAGCATATTAGAACTGTAGCACTAGCACCTGGTAAGACTGCGTTGAAGATTGGCTAATTCTTCTTCTGCTACAACTTTCAGGATATAATTCAGCACCTGAAGCAGAGTTGTCCAGCTTATCTGTATGCTACTTCCATGTCACCGCCAGCAGTGCAACAAGTTATCTCTGCTATTAAAGTTATCCTTGGGGAGGATGGCTCCAACAGAGGTACTAAACGAGCTTTCTTAACACATTTCGTTTTCCCTTTTCATTTGCAGCTGTGTTTCACTATAATGTTCAACTGAATAATTCCTTGTTTTCCCCTTGTGATATGTTGAAGGTGTCCAAAAACTTGCGTGCATCCGTGAAAGCAGTAATTTCTTCAGGTCAGAGCTCAAGAAGATGGGGTTTGAGGTTCTTGGTGACAATGACTCTCCTGTCATGCCTATAATGCTCTACAATCCGGCTAAGATTCCTGAATTTTCTAGGGAGTGTTTTAGACAAAAGGTTAGTGCGTGATAGAGTGTATCCGAAGATTCTGAAGATCCAAATAGCACTGTGCTTTATTTTGATATAGTTTTCTTTCAGAATGAGAATTGTGGTGCTAATAGCAATATAATCTGCATGTATGTAGTCCATATCCATCACTATTTGCGCCATCGGTTTCATTCTTCCTATTTGTCATGCAAGTGATAACAACAACTTGTGTTGCAGGTTGCTGTTATTACTGTGGCATTTCCTGTGACACCCCTTCTTCTTGCAAGAGCACGTATCTGCATTTCTGCTTCACACACTAGGGAAGACCTGATGAAAGCTCTTGATGTGAGTGTTTTTTTATGCATAAATACTTCATTATACACTAAATACAGCCAAACTGACGTGTTTCTTTTTTGTGCAACCCACTTTCAGGTTATCAGCAGAGTCGGTGATCTTGTGGGCATCAAATATTTCCCTGCAGAACCACCAAAGATTCCCGAAGCTGATGCTGAAATTACCTCATGACCATGAGGAGTGATTGAAGTCCCTTTTTAAGTCATCAATAAATCATTATGGAAACAAACACGCATTGAACAGTTTCATTGGGATCTTGGCCCCGTTCGCTTAGAGAAATCTGGATGAATCTGAAGAAATCTGTGAGAGGAATCAGCCGGCTACAGTGCTTTTTCAGCCGGCTACCGTGCTTTTTTGGGTCGGCCGAACGCACCCAAGGGGATATACACGAGAGTCCAGATCCGTCGTATTAGCAGAATACTTGTTTATTGATTGTACAATTATATCCTTCGAAATGTGTGTAACTGGTTCAAGTTCACTTCTGTTGTTAATCTATTCAAGATATGTGCATTACTGGGATTTTCTACAGGCATGCCATGGACAACTACTAAGGCCAGTTGCTTTCCTTTTTTTTCGTATCACTCTCTGTGAAGAGAATGGCTTCGGTACTCTTTTTTTTTTTTAAAAAAGAACAAAGAACAAATCTTAAAGCAACATTGTAAATGATACAGTACCAAGTGAATGTATTTGAACTTGTTTTCATCATCTTTCAACATATATACGAGCTCGGTGAGCATATTGATGGATATTTAATGCTGTCATCGCTGTGTCGAAAAGAATAGGCTCCGCCAATCCCATAGCACTTCGTGATTTTTCTTTTTTAGAAAAATTATTTCCACAACTTTCTTTGTTTGAAATTTACAAAGTTATACACATAACTTTTGCGTATAATATTTTATTATGAGCCGACATAATTTATTATCATAACTTAGTTAATATATTTTTAATAATATTATGTGGACAACTTATCACGATAACTTTTATACGTAACTTTTAAAGGCCAACTTTTGTTCATAACTACCGGTGGACAAACTTATTCATAATAACTTCTCATATTTTCATAACTTTTTTTTGAAAGTTACAAAGTTATACACAAATTATGTGCATAACTTTTTACATAACAACTTATCATCACATTTTTTTAACTTTTCTTTTTTTAGAAAAAAAATTCATAATTTTTTATTAGAAAATTAAGTTATGCTCACAACTTATATGCATAACTTTTTAGGTGACAAATTAACATCATAATTTTTGTAGATTTGTGGTCATAAGATTCAATAGTTCGAAAGAAGAGGAAAAATGAAAAAGAGAGAAAATGTTAAAAACAAGTGAAAGCATCTAGGCCCCTAGTTGGGTTTTGGTGATTAATGACAATACAAGATTATTATGACTAACGTATATTTTGCAGAGGCAATTTAAGTTAGGTCATGGTAATAGCAATTGAGTGGGCAATCATGGTTGTCATGCCCCTACGATGGAAATCGTTTCGGTTTTCAAAGAATGGACGACAAGGTTAAGGATGGACTAGTTCTAAGTGTCGTTTAGTGTTGAAAATACACTTAGAGTAGTTTATGACTTTGCTTTTTCTTTGGCCGTACTATTAAGGGGATATGGACTAGTAGCTTGACCTAGGTGAGTCTAGTGAGTTAGGTGTGGTGCACACTTATCAAATTTAGCACTAGGTAGCTCCGGAGTAGCCCTAAGATCAATTGAAGCAAACTTCATTCACATATGATTTCGAGTTAGAAGTGAATGGAGGGTCAAATAACTGACCGGACGCTGGTCTGGTTGTGACCGGACGCTGAAGGGTGAGTCCGGTCAGTTCATTTGTCAACTGGAGCCGTCTGGTTGCGACCGGACGCTCAGTAAAAAGTGATCGGACGCTGGGTTTCTGTGTCCGGTCAACTCCAGAGAGGGAGATTCCTGATCGGACGCGTCCGGTCAGTGCTGACCGGACGCTGGTTAGGATTCGGTAATTGACCAGACACTGAACAGCGAAGTGACCGGACTCTGGGTGCCAGCGTCCGGTCAACATCAGTAAGGTTGCAGAGAGCAGTTTTCGTGACCGGACGCAGGTCAGAGTCCGGTCAGAACTTAACGGCTCTTTCTAACCCAGTGGCGGGGATAACTGACCGGAGCGTCCGGTCACCCCGCAGAGTGATGACTCAGCCTTCAAACGTTATGTTTTGAATAAGGGGTATAAATACTTACTCCGCTCGTCCAAAGGAGGTCTCTTGTCCATTTGTTTAGCTGAGAAACACCCTTGAGAGTGCAAAGAAGAGCAAGAGCCTAGTGAGGTGATTGAGATTTGAGAATCCAAGATTAAGGTCTCATTAGTGCAAGGAGAGTAGCAAGTGTGCATCCACCCTTCTCATTAGGCTTGTTGTGGTCAAGTGAGAGTTCGTGCTTGTTACTCTTGGTGATCGCCATCACCTAGACGACTTGGTGGTGATCGGGAGTTTGGTGATCATCCGGCGGAGCTTGTGGATGACCCAACTCAAGTTATGGGCAATTCACCACGACGGAGTGTCGAAAAATCAGCCCATAGAGAGCATTTGATCCTTGCGCGGATCAAGGGGGAGCTACACCCTTACGTGGGTGCCCCAACGAAGACTAGTGGGGAGTGACGACTCTCCGATACCTCGGCAAAACATCGCCGCGTTCCTTCTCCCCTCTTTACTTTAAGCATTTACATTTGAGCAATTCATTTCTTATCTTTACATTCTTAGAATTGCCATACTAGAGTAGGATTAGAACCTAGGGTGCAAAACTTTTATGCGGTAGAATAATAGGAACACAAGGGGTGTAGGATTTAATTATTGCAAAGAATTTTAGAATTAGCCCAATTCACCTTCCTCTTGGACATCTTGATCCTTTCAACAAGAAAAAAAACATGTGCACAACATCATATTATACATCTACAGCTAGTATATGAATACATATAGTTTCATCTAAATCTAAAATAGTTAGGTTAATGTGTATAAAAAATAAAAAAAGCAAAGGAAAAAATAGAAAAAAATAAAAATAAAAAGGAGAAAGCCAGACCTGGTTCTTCTGGATAGAATGCAAAAGGGGCCGCTGTTGTTCCTGAGTCCACATGCTCAGAGACGGAGTGGTGGAGAGTGACCGCTCGTGGTGGAGAGTGACATGGTCCACTAAATTGGATTAATTGTCTCCTCAAGCTGCGTTACCATGGGCCGCGATGTTTCGAACGGCCCAACTAGAATGTCCACGCTCGCCTATGTTCGGCTGTCGTCTCCTAGTCTCCACAAACATCATTTCCACTCGCTTCGAGCTCCCCGCGCCAGCACAACGTGCTCCACTGTGGCCGCGTTGCCACTATGCTCTCCACCGGCCTAGCCGGTCACCATCCCCTCTCTGCACTGCACTAGAGCACCACCGCCTGCCTTCCACCCTCTTCACCGTAGTTCACCGAGTGCTCGCCATTCCACAGCACCGTCCTCTCGCCGCTCACCTTTCCCTAACGCTGGGGCCGCTCGCCTGGGCACTACATCTGCCTGCCCACTAGCATCCTCCCCCTGCGCGCCACTCCGCGTATCGAGCTTCGCGTCGACGAGCCTCTATTCTCCTAAGCAGTAAGGAGATGTTGCGCTGAAAGTGCATGTTGCAAGCATATGTTTCAAGTGTTTCAGATATTTCATAGGTATGTTGCAAGTGTTTTTAGATGGATGTTACAAAAGTAGATCGGGATGTTGCAATGGTTTGTACATGTATGTTGCAAGCGTGTTTCGTCTGTTTTTCAGACGTACGTATTTGTTATCTGGATATTGCATATGTTTGACACATATATTACAAGTGTTTTTATCTGCATGTTGCGTATGTTTGCAATAATTTTCAAATATTTTCAGGTGTTTTTGCAAGTGTTTCAGACGCATGTTTCAAGTATTTCATCTGTCTTCTTTGTATGTTGCAAGTGTTGTATCTGAATGTTTTCAAAGTAGACCGGGATATTGGGTGTTGCACATGGGATGCGCGTGGGAAGTGGCTGGTGACACGGGCAGCATCTAAGGTGGCTGGCGGCGCGGGCGACATATGCGGCAACACGGGCCCGCTGCTAGGGCGCTTGGTCGCAAGTCCATCGCAGCTGGGGCACTCGCTCGCTGTGCAAGCTCCTTCTCTTGCACGCGTGCACCATGCGACGCTAACGCCCTAGATCGGACGTCCGGACACTAGCAAGTCCGTTTGAGAAAAAGACACCTGTTGATACCATGCTTTTATCTAAACTTGACGGTCTCTTTAATTTAATTAACGTATTTCAGCATTGATTTAAATGGCTTGGTTATGGGGAATTGTATTGTCCATTTTCCACCCCTCACACAAAAACTTAACACTCCATCGTTGGATACTTTCTTGGTCTAAAATACTGTAACTGTCAAACTTATTAGGGGTTTTGGATTAGGACGTTCGGATGCTAATGAGAAGGATTAAACATGAGCTAATTATAAAACTAATAATTACATATGGAGATTAATTTACGAGATGAATCTATTAAACCTATTTAATCCATTAGTAGCACATGTTTACTGTAGCACCGCATTACCAAATCATAGACTAATTAGGTTTAATAGATTCGTTTCGTAAATTAGTCTCAATCTATATAATTAGTTTATATTTAATACTCTAAATTAGTGTCAAACATCAAATATGATCGGAATTAAAATTTAGTCCCTGAAACCAAACTGGCCTTTAAAGTTGGTGTTACATAAAAAATAGCATCGAGATTTATATCTTTAAAATGAGTTTATTATAAAAATATATTTTATTTTAAAATAAATATTATTGTATCACTCTACTGAGTGATAAGACAAGAAGACAAGAGAAGAGGAGAAAAAACAACGACAGAGAGACGTACCAACCTCGGCAACTGCGACGACCCGTACGAGGAGGAAGAAGTCGACTAGCGTGGCGGAGGCGGCGGCGATTCCAGGCCACCTTCCAATACCCGCCACCCTCACGCGAGAAATTCCCAGGTATTCTCCCTGCAAATTCCATCCTCCTCGCCCCCTTCTCCGATCCGATCGATCGCGGATCGCTGCGTTTCGTGATTCCTCAGGTTTATTGAGGATTTTTTTAGTTGGTTGCCTTTTTCCCCCTCTTGTTGGCGCCGGGGGAATTTGAGGGTTTAGTCTTGGGGTTGATCGGAGGCGAAA